TTTATATATATCATTTTTTTAATCTATTAAGAAGTTTATGTGTTATAAATGTTAAAAGAAATTTTTGGCATTCAAGCGAATGTTACACGCACTAATTAAAAAAAAGAGAAAGGATTTGCACACTGACTGTTAATATTAATATTAATAAAATCAAGGGGTAAAACCAAAAATCCGTTGAAACGAGGGTTCGACTGTATTTAATAATCTCACAAATTGCACTTTATTTTATCTGTAGTAATAAATTTGCTTGTAACACTATTTTATCATCACATTTTTCGACGGTCAATTCAAGAGTACACACAAATTTTGTTGTCTTTTGTTGGTATTTATATTTTAGTTATTGCTATTGTAAAATGTTGTTAATAAACAATACAGGATTAAATTCTCTTTATCCGTGTTCACAATCAATTAAACATGAGATATTGTGGTAATGCTTACAGTATCATTGTTTTTTAAATTAATAGATAGGAAACATTATCAATGCAATAAATATAAATATAAATGTAAATGTAAATGTAAATTAAGAATGCGACTTTGCTTCTATAGAAGAAAATACAATTTTCACATGGATACGATGAAACTATTACAGCATTTTTCTCCTCAACATTTTCTTTATCGGCATATCCATCAATTATCTTGGCAATATTTTCGTCTCTAGTACTAATTACGTTCGTTACATAAATATTATCATCATACTCTATTCCTTCCATCCATCATATCGTTATTATCATTACCACTAGCATTATACTCCTCGGGGATCGGAGGTCTGATTGACCTTTTTTCTGAACAAAAGATTAGATTATAAAATTTTAATACTTGAATCTCAAATGATGTTTAAGTGCGTATTTTTGCACTAAAAGAACTATTTTTTTGATTTAATTTGTCGTATTTGGTGGCTTATTATGATTAGAAAAGTATAAAGATTTGTTGTTGCTACTGCTGTTGCCCTCTTTGTCAAAAAGGTAACAATATAAAGAAGTTAGGTTTTAATTTATAGAGAATTTATTCAACTAAAAATAATGACATGTTGTTGAATCTGTAACAATGGCGATCTGGCCATGATGATCAGTAGTAGTAGTGGGTATGATTTTGGTGGAACGACGCGAAAAAATTTTTCTTTGAATTAAAGAATAAAAAACAATAAAAACGATATAAATATGGCTACTTTTATTACTAAATTACCTTTAAACTATAAACATGATGCATGCAAGTCTCTCTTCTATTTTTGAATTTATCTTTGCTAAAAAAATTTATTAGGTAGACGCGTTAATGAAAAAAGATTTACCAAGTATTATTTTCTTTTCCTTTAGTGAGTATCGCTAAATTTTTAGCAGAATTTCGACCAAATAGCGAATCACAAGATAATAGTAGTTTTATGGATGTTGATGGTGTTGATATAAGCCCAAATCCATGTAAATATAAAGAACAACTGGTATATATAATTTTTTTTTTAATCACTTAATATCTAATTATACAATCGTTAGATTCATCAATTAAAATAATTTTTTTCATTTGATAAAATAGCAATTAATAGCAAATAGAGAAAAAAAGTCTATAACGATTGAACTTGATGATTTTGCCACGGTAAATAAATTATTATTATCATTGATTCAAAATTCAGAATTTTAAATCAATCAATCAATCAATCAATCAATCAATCAATCAATCAATCAAATAATTTATTCATTTATTATTTATTAGTGGGAAGATCAACTTGAAGACAGTTTACTCGAAAGAATTCAAACAAATATAAGAAGATATCATGATATATTTCAAGATGAGATTGATAAATTGTTACCAGCTCCTACAAAAGAAATAGATTATGAAAGTGATGTAATAGATGTTATTATGCAACACAGAAGAGATAAAGATGAACAAAATTTACCTGAAGATCGTACAATTTATCCTCCCTCTTTAACAAGAAGATAGTTAGTTATTTTTTAATATTATATTGATTTATATATTTAATTGTTTTTTTATAATATCGATTGTCCTAACAATAAAATATATAATTAGTGCACTTTATTTCAAACCCTTGTCAACTGAAACACCTTTAGCAATTCGTGAAGTGAGTGGTAAATATGTTGGTCATCTGGTGACAGTTCAGGGTATGATCATTCGTGTCAATGATGTCAAGCCATTTTTGTTGGTTGCTGGTTATTCATGTGAAATGTGTGGCAATGAAGTATTTCAAGAAGTAACAAAAAAAGCTTATACTCCACTTGTTGACTGTCCAACGGAAAAATGCAAAAAGAATAGAATAAGGGGGAGATTGTTAATGCAGACTAAATCTTGTAAATTTTTACCTTTTCAAGAGGTAAAAATGCAAGAAATGGTAATTAATCAATTACACATAAATAATTTTATGTATTTTTTTTTTAATAAGAAAATTTAACCATTATGATTATTATTATGATTATATATTGTGTCAGACTGAACAAGTACCTGTTGGTCATATCCCCCGTACAATGACTATATTATTATATGGAGAAGTGACGCGTTCAATGAATCCCGGTGATGTGGTAAATGTTTCAGGAATATTTCAAGCGACACCACATAAAGGATACAAAGGCAGTACTAGTCTTTTGACTGATGTCTATCTAGAAGGTCAATACGTTAATCAACTTAAAAAACAATACGATAAAATGGAAAAAACACCAGAAGTTGAAGAAAAATTAATGGGATTACGTGGAGATCCTTTAATTTATGAAAAATTATCAAGTAGTATTGCGCCTGAAATTTATGGTCATGGTGATGTGAAGAAAGCTTTATTGTTGTTACTTATTGGCGGTGTTACTAAAAATACGAGTGATGGAATGAAAATTCGTGGTGACCTGAATATATGCTTGATGGGTGATCCCGGCGTTGCAAAGTCTCAATTACTTAAATATATATGTAAAGTTGCTCCAAGAGGTGTATATACAACTGGTCGTGGTAGTTCTGGTGTTGGTTTGACTGCATCAATTAATCGGGATCCAACAACTGATGAAATGATTCTTGGTATTTAATTGATTAAATCGTGTTCCATTTAATTTTAATAATTTACCAATTAATTACTAATTTATTTATATTTTATTATAAAGAGGGTGGTGCTCTGGTGCTTGCTGACAATGGTATTTGTTGTATTGATGAATTTGATAAGATGGATGACACTGATCGAACAGCCATACATGAAGTTATGGAACAACAAACGATTAGCATAAGTAAAGCTGGCATCACAACAACCTTGAATGCACGTACATCAATTTTAGCAGCTGCAAATCCACTTTATGGTCGTTACAATCCTAGGGTTTCACCCGCTCATAACATCAATTTACCAGCAGCTCTTTTGTCAAGATTTGATGTTATGTTTTTAATTCTAGATAGACCAAATCTGGATGAAGATACTAAATTAGCACAGCATGTTGCTTATGTTCATTCATTTGGTAAACATCCAGTAATGCAAACTGAAGTAGTGGAGGCTCAAATGATTAGGTAATAAATTAACTGATTTGTTATTAAATGATTTTTTTTTTAATAAATTTTAAAAAAAATTTTATAAATTTTAGACACTATATTGCTGAAGCAAGAAATTGTCGTCCAACTATTCCACCACCTGTTGGTTGGTATATGGTTGATACATATAAACGACTTCGTCAAGATCAAGCCGGTGGTGATTTCAAAAAAAAGGAATTTACTTTTACAAGTGCTCGTACCTTGCTAGCAATGGTTCGATTAGCACAAGCACGAGCACGCCTAGGGTTAAGAGAAGAGGTTAATCAAGATGATGTCGATGAAGCATTGAGGTTAATATATGTATCTAAAGAATCATTAAAGGATCCAGACACAAACAATGACAATTTTGATAGATCACCTACTTCTATAATTTACGGAATTATAAAAACAATAATAGCTAGAGAACGATTAGTAAGTTATGCAGGTGGTGACGATGATGATGATGATGATGAAGATGAAGGTGAGGTTGGCGGAGAAGAGGGGGCAGGGAGGGTAGAGAGGGTAGAGAGAGAGATGGAGGTACTGGAAAATCATGGTGGATTATCAATTGATTATTTGACTATTAAACAAAGAGTTTTGGCAAAAGGTTATACAGAAGATCAGTTATTAGAGTGCATTCAAAATTATCAAGAACTTGCAGTTTGGACATTGAGTAGGGATCGAGACACATTAACAATACTTAATATCTGATGATAACTATAATTATGATAAATATTGATTGCAGAAATGTAAAAAAGAAATTTATATTTGACAATTATTATTAATTTTAATAAAATATTAATTTTTGAATCATAAAATTAGAAAAACCAAATAATCCTTCTGAGATATTAAAAAGCAAAACCTTTTTTTTTTTTAAAAAAAACAAAGTTATATGTAGCACATATTTATTTAACAATAACAACTAATATTTAATTTAAATCTTCATCATCGAAATCGTCAGGAAAATCTAATCATTAAAAAAATTTTTTTTAATAAGAATATTTACGTAATTAAAGTAATAATAATAATATCCTTTACCATTAAAAAACTCTTGATCCACTAATTTATCACCTTGTCGTTGTTTATGATGCCAACCACCTTTATTATGATGTGGATGTGTTGGACTAGGGAAGAAATTTTCATCATATATGCCACTACTATTATCACTACCATCACCTTGTTGACGATTATTATGATGAGAATGACTACTTCCACCACCTCTACTACCACTTATTTCATCACCACCGCTACCTCTTTCTCTATCTCTATAACCTCCTCCTCCTCCTCTTTCATTATCTCTACCGCTTTCTTTTATAAAATCTGATTGAGGTTGGTATGATGAATCTCCATCTATTATCATTTGTCCGTCATCATATTCATCCGTAGCCATTTGTTCAAAATAATCATCTTTTTTTTAATAGTAAGTCAATTAATTAAGAAAAAACTTAATATTAATAATATCATAATTAATAAATTAAATTAAATTACAACAATAAATTAAAAAGTTACTAATTATTACCATCGTCACCTTCAGGTAGCTGTGACGACATATTATCGTTAATATCTTCCACCTTTTTTTTTTTCGCCCTTGGTCTTTTGCGTTTTTTTGTATGATTACCTATCGTGAAAAATTTATTATTCTCTTTTTTTTTTTTAGTTTATGATTTCTTATCGTTTTTTTCGCGATAATGATTTGATCAGTATTAACGTTGGAGTAAAAAGAAGTTTGTTTTATTTTTTGCGTTGATTTTGTATACCACACTGGTTTATGTATCTGTCGATCTCGACAAGTTTCTACACTGTGTCACAATAAATAATATTGAAATGGGAATATAGCTTTTACAAAATGAGGGGAGTAATAAGAAATTTCCGAGATTATGACTTAATTTAGGTCAAAGAACCGGCAACCTTTAAATGTTGCCAGTATAGATCTTTTTTGGTTTCACGAAAGTTAATACGCGACACATTTTGCAAATTATATCTTTTTTTATTTCTTAATAAATATGGGTAGATTGTCTAAAAGAAGTTTGCATCTTAAAAAAATATCACAATTATCCGTTAAATCTAGACAAGAAGTAATTAAAAATAAGAACAAAGAGATTAATAATGCAAATGAATTGGTTGATAATGAAATGTGAGGAGACACATATAAATGATTTAAATTTGTTATATATTCTTTTTTGTAATTTAATTCAATTTTTTTATTCAATACAGTAATAGAGAATTAGTCAGCAATTCAAATAATGAATTACCATTTTCAAAACTATTATCAAACCACTCAATAGTATCATCAACATCGTCACCAGAATTTTCATCAAAACCATCCGAAAATACGAAATCTTATGCCAGATCTAAAAGACCGCTTAGTTATCTTGGAAATTCTATCAGAACTAGGCAAAGAAAGAAAAGCATTGGTAGATTAGACGCTGAAAAAAATGGGAGCACATTAGATAATTTTTTCTCTACAGAAAAAAATCTTCAGATAAATGAAAATGATATGAATTCCCACAATGACTTGATTGAAGAAAGTAATGCAGTTGAAATCAATCTCGTGGAACATCAAAAACATGAAGTGGAATTGAGAAAATAGATGAATTATTAAATGATCCATCATCATCCATTACCTCAAATGGATATAAAGTTAAAGCATTACAAAATTATTGGATCAAAATTAATGTATTGCTCAATTGTTAAATAAAGGTCCTTGATTTTCTAGGTGTGTAAGAAGTTGGGCAAAAATCTTTTATAAAACTTGGAAATATTCCACTAGTGATGTCAGCCAGGCTAGAGTTTCTATTCGTAATTAGTGACGTTACTCGGCTAAGAAATTTATCAGCTTAGCCGGCTGATGTTTTTTTTTTGTACAATACAGTCAAATCTCAATAAGCCGAACTTTTGGGAATAACAAAAATGGGCTTATCAAGATTCGGTTTATGATGATTTACAATTATGTTTTTGGTTAACCATTTTTGCACCGTTATAAAGCGAAAATCGGTTTATAGTGGTTCGGCTTGTCGAGGTTTGACTGTAACTTGAAATGAAAAAAAAATTTCTTTCATTACTTACTTGGAATGAAAAATCTGCCATTCACTTGCTCCCCCCCAAAAAATACAATAATCGTAGCACAATAATAAATAATAAAGAAAGCAATAATAGTGAACCATTAAATAATAACAATGGCAACGAATCAAGAGATATATCATTGAATAATAATAGTAGTAGTAGTAGTAATAGAAGTGATAGTATTAACAATAAATAGTAGCCCGCAGATCATCAATTGATAATAATCATTTAGATGAAATATAATTTGTTAATTCAGTTTGTTGTTCTTTGGCAAGATGTTTATTGCACCAGATTATTTTGACAAGAATAAAGAGTTGATTAGATTACTTAAAATATCGAGAACATAGTGAGGACCTCTCAGCAGATTCTTTTGAATAAAAAAATCTGAAGATTGTCGTGAACAAGCAGCAAGGTGCCTAAACGTTTTTAGGATAATATAAGTATTTTGGCAATATGTCGGAATATGCGGGATGTATTTATCAATAATGCTAAATATAAACTTGATATATACGGAGTCAAAAAATTAATTGGTTGATTCAATTATATCTCCAACAAGGCAACTAAAGACAAGAAAAAAATGCTCAACTTAAGACAAAATCGAGATTAGTTAACTCATCAAAACAACCAAAGACAAAACGACCTTATAATAATCTTACTATTTACAGATTTATATCAACTTGTAGAATAATAAAATGAATTCAGGTACGATTTTACAATTATAACAATTAATAATACTAACGTTGATCTCTGAAATTTTTTCCGACTTAATTAATGCTCACTTTTATCTTGGTCTGGTTTTGTTGCAGTGTGCCCATATAATTCAATGAATGCGTAATTAAAAATACAATAAACATGACCTTCTATAGCTTAATGAATGAATTAGTTAGTAGGGAACTCCATGCTACACCGATTTTTGGATAAAGAACTTTTGGTGATAAAAAACATCTCGGATAATTGAATTTGGGCCTGTGTTAATATTAAAAGGTAAGCAGATATGATTGTCACTATTATTATTAGAACCTAGCCGCAGGAGCTATTATCTAGTCATTGCTGAAATCTAGCCGCGACTGGATTCCAAGCATCACAATACAGTAATCAATCTTCAAATGGCAATACAGTAATTATAATGAGAATAATCTAAAGTATCAAAGAGATGAACGCGTGGGCAAATAAGACAAATCATAAATCAATTTTAAAAGGCATTTCTCGTGAATATGCAATTTTTTACATTATAATAAGAATAAAAATATGTATATTGTATATTCGATAATAAATATTAAATAAAAAGAACATTATATAATAAAATTAAAACAGATATTGTAATAATAAGTTATAGATGTTGGTACTTTGCATATTTCCAATATCCTTGATTCCACCTGACAAATACATAAGGAAGAAGAAGTGATTTTACAAACCAAGGCATGTAACTATAAACCATGATATCTCTATCTTCTTCAGGCAAGTGTAAGAGTATAAATGGAAGAATCGTAGTTGACCCGCCGGCTTTTCTAACCGCATCTTTTATTTGTCCTTGAATTGTTTCAAGTTCTTGCACTGTAAAATTTTTTCTCAAAGCTTCAACTGAAAAGGTGACTTCCTCGTTTTTTAAATGAGGAAGAATGAGGTTACTTATTTTCGTCATCAACTCCACTAATTTTGATGATTCATAAGTCACTTTCTTATTTTTAATTTCTGACGTGTAGTTGGACAAGCTATGGAGTAATTTATCGAGTTGTTTGTGATCTTCAACAAAGTCGCTGATAGGTATTTTTTTGGATACTGAGGGAAAGACTACGTGTTCCTCGTGATGATGATGACTCATGAAATGAGAATTGAATGCTTCGATGTATCCTATAAAATTGTCAATATCAGAGGCGGGTACTTTTGGAGCATTCTAAAGAAATAATGTGTTTTATAAAATTTTTAGATGATTTTTTCATTGTCAAGAATCCAAATATTTTTTTCGGCCATGTTACCTCTAAAATTTGAACCATTCCCGCTCGAAGCGTATCATGAATTTTAATCAATCCATAAGTAAAATTTTCGAAAACGTCAGCAGATTCATTAGGTGCCATGATTTTTTTTATTTGATATATATATATATATTTATGTATGTTTTGTAAGTGACGATGGTAAATTCAAATAATGAGCTTTGATGTCCGAGGTTTTTTATAACATTTGAGTTATGTATCACATGATATAATTTAGCATCTGTTTGATTGCAAACGATTGAATTAATGTTTTTTACTTAATATATCGATTAAATAATGTATATGCATAATAAAATAATAAATAAAATCATTCAGCTATCGCTACTACTACATAAAGATTAATTGGTAAACATGGTAATAATTTTAATAATAATAGATGACTTTTTTTAAAATAAACAAATAACAAATATTTATTATTGTGATAATATAAATAGAATTAATCATCCAATATTTTCAATAATAGTAGTTTCGTCCGTCTCTTTTTCTTTACTATTACAATTAGTACTAGAATCTAATATTGTTATTATTGTTAACTGATGGAAATAAAACTAAATTAACGATTAACGATTAATAAATTTCAATTTATAATGCTGTCGATTTCACAGACTCCCTTGGCATAAAATGATAAAATTAGAGTATTTTCATCCAATAAAATTTCGACCATCTAAACTGAATTTTCTTTCATTTCGTAAATTTCAAGTATTCCAATACAGGCATTATTCTTCAAATGGCAATAGTAATAATGATAATGATGGTGGTAATAATTCTTCAAGTTTAAAAAGATATGAATGTGTAGAAGAATTAATGTGTAAAGGTTAGCAACAATAAACAATAATAATATTTATTACTATCAATTTTAAAAATATTGATTATTTGCATCGAAAATCCATATGAAGAGCCAATGGTAAAACCAAAAATAAAAGCATCAAATTGGAGGCATGATGATTTTATTAAAAAAATTTCAGCAAAACAAAAATATTCTTCTATACTTAATAATAAAGATAATGTTGATTTATCATTGCTCAAACAACAACAACAACTAGTTCCTAAAACAATGTCAGATTCTTGTGTTGAAAAATTCTTGCCACTCAAAAGTGATGTTGAATTGTTAGAAGATTATATTAGTCCATATGGTGGAATTAGGTATTTCTGGATGATGATGTTTTTACATTTTTATAACATAGGTGTCGTTTAGATTTAATTAAATTTTTTTTTTTAAAGATTGGGAAAAATATTTGAAAATTTGGATCTTTTAGCTGGTGCAAGTGCTTATAAACATTGTGAAATTGACAAAAGTAATTTAGCACCTTTTTTAATAGTTACAGCATCTGTTGATAGATTGGATTTGTTAATTAAACACTTGAAAATCAATGATCTAAGATTAATTGGGCACGTAACTTATGTTGGATATAGTTCAATGGAAGGTGAAAACTAAATAATTAAAATTATTATTATCATTATTGACATTTGTTAAATAATAAAGTAAGATGATTATTTTACACCTATATTTAACTAGTTTTGATTAAAATGGAATCGCTTAAAGATGGTGTAATGCAAAAAATAGAAACAAATCCTGAGTACATATTTAACGAAAATCAAGATAAACTTGAAATGATCATGATAGCAAGATTTACAATGGTAGCAAAAGATCCAAAGACAGGTCAAGCGGCTCGAGTCAATCCATTACAATTAGAAAATGAAAAACAAAAAAGACTATTTCAAATGGGAAAAGGTACATTAATATTATTAATTGTTTTTTTATAATATATGTTTAAATATATTAAAATAATATATATATATATATATAATCATATAGAACTAAAAGCTCGTAAAATCGAATCAGCTGCCAAATCTCTTAATAAATTACCACCAACAGAAGATGAAAGATTATTAATACACGATTTGTACCTTGAATATAGGAAATATGCGGGTAAAAAAAATTGATGATGATTATTAAATCTATTCAATATCTTATTTATTTGTTTATTTGTTTTCTTATTAGATACAAAGAGAAAAGAAAAGAAACCTGATGATATTATATGGATGGATGAAACAATTATGGAATCTGTTGTTCTCATGCAGCCACAAGTAATGTCTATAGTGTAAATTTGAACTTGTATAATAAATAAATTTTTAATATATACATCTTTTTTCCAATATTATTAGTATAGAAACATTCATGGTTTTATATTTGGTGGTTATTTGATGAAATTAGCTTATGAGGTAGAATGCTATTTATATTGTTTTCAATTGTCATTATTATATATTTTTTTTAAATAAGCTAAACCTTTTTATCATCATTATAACAATAATAATAAGTTAGCATTTTCAAATGCTTCAGTATTCTTAAGAAATAGACCAGTTTTTTTAGCATTGGATGAAATTTCATTTAGAAAACCTGTACTAATTGGCTCAGTTTTAAGCTTGTCATCTCAAATTGTGTATTCACCTGGCACACCACATCAAAGTTTTCAAGTTGCAGTAAGTTTTTTATATTTAATAATAATTAATAACGATGGTGATGATGATGATAACAGCATCAAAAAACAATAATGATACTTTATAATAATAATATGCATTCTTTTCTACATTCATATTGGGGTTTTTCTTTTATAGGTTACAGCAGATGTTTTAGATATTGAAAAAGAAAAAAGAGACACAACAAATATATTTCATTTTACTTTTACATCATATGATATTATTAATGTTAGAAGAGTTATACCAAATACATATGGAGACTTGATGAAATTTCTTGAAGGTAAAAGAAGAAGAGAGATTGGATTGAAATTAAAAAGTTTATATAAATAAATAATAATAATAGCCATTTTAATAAATTAAATTATTGTATTATTAAAAAAAATAAAATATTGGGTAAACAATTTTTGGTATAAGAACAACGTTGTTTCTAAATTTTTGTTCTAATCTAAAATTAACCCATTTTACTGAGATTTTCTTTAGCCTATCTAGAGATGATAAAACATTACTAAAAAAATTTTTTTGACAATGATATCGATATTTTCTTTTGTCGTATTGCCCTATCCAAACAATTAATTATTATTTTGAAAAAAAAAGAAATGTTATTATAATAATAATAGATATTGAAATAATAAATAAATTCTATAACTTTAATTTACATTTAATAATATACAGTATTTAAAAATATCCGATCTTCTATTAAAAAAAATCATCACAGTAATTTAGAATAACTTGGTGGTGCATATCTTTTCCTCAAAAATTTGACTATATATAATGGAATACTGCTAACAGCGGTTATTACAGCAACCTTCCACACAAATGTTATAGTTAAGATAAAATATAAATCTTTATAAAATAAAAATAATATATATAAAAATAATTAATACAAAAGGCTTTATAAATCGAAAGTCAAATTGAAAAAAAAAAATACTGACCAAAGTAGGTAGGCAGAAATATCATTGAAACAATGTAAATGATCAATGTAATTATTTCTGATATAATCATAAGTTTATGCCTTTTTTTCCAATCATAATTGAATCGGTTAATTCATTGTTAATTAATATAAATTTTAAATATTAAAATAATCAGTCGAACTGCATTACCATGTATTGATCTCCAAAGCAACCATCAAAAGTTCATTAATAATTAACGCAGTGAAAGAAATCGAGACAATATTGACAAATTCGTCTTCAAAAAGAAATATAGACATAATCATTATAGCGCCACCTATAAATTTTATTTGATAAGAGCATACATATAGAATTTAAATGAGCATTGAAAATTTTAAAAAAAGGAAAACATGTATGTGCGCGTGCAATAATACCTTGATATACACTGATCATTAACCATTGAAAGAAGGTCTTTAAAGAAAGTGACCTTCCCTATAGCAACCACAAAGAACAATTTATAAAAATATTAATTTCATACAAGAGTAATTAATATTAATAATAAATTTGTAACTACCTTTGTTAAATCTTTATATAATTCCGGAAATTGTAATGCTATGTCTTCACTTACATCCATATCCAATACTAATGAAAATACCGGCGCCATTGTATAAACGGTAGAATATCCTACCATCAATACACCCTACAGGAATTTTTTAAAAAAATTAAAAAAATATATTCTATGCTGTAACGCTAAAGGGTTACAGATACTTACTTGATATAGAGCAATTGGTGCATAGTAAAAGATAGAAGAAAACACTGCTTGCATAACCGATATTATAAGACCACGATGGATAACAAATTGAGAAAGCTTCGCAGAACGTTTATAACTATTTCTTCCGTGCCAAACTATAAAGAATTAAGTTTTTTTTTGAAAAAAATATTCCAAGTAATTAAAACAATATCTTACAATTTTTTACTTACGTAGTAATTTTGTCAAATAGCTAAATTGAGTAATTGAAAAATCAGCTGCTAAAGAAGCTTGCCTTCCTTCTTTTCCAACAATACCGACACCTGAAAACAATTTAATGGATGATAAATTATTAAAAATATTAAATATTCTTTAAACTGAAATTAAAAGAAAAAAAACATAACATACCAACATCGGCTGCTTGAATCATACTAACATCATTACCACCATCGCCAATACAACAAACTTTTTTATTAGTAAAATTTTTAATGAGTCTCGTAATGTCAGCCTATTGATCAATAGATAATAAATAATATAATGAGCACTCAAAGTATGCGTGATTGATTCAATAAATTTAACTTGAAATGTTGTTAACCTTTTGAGTAGGCGAACATCTACAAGCAACTACAACTGGCAATCTGATTGCTAATTCAATAAATTCATTCTTGTAATGATCAATATAAAGCTGAAATTTTTTTTTTCAAAAGAGGGAAATATTAAAATATTTAATATGATGAATTTTATAAAACAATAAAGATAATTTAAAGCAATTAAAGTCACCTGAAGTGATTCTCCATCAATTACCAAACAACAATCACCTGTACTTTGTAAATGGTCCAATTCTTCTAATGCTTCATCTGAAGATTGCACTAGTAAAAAAGCAAAACTGAAACTAAATATCTTAATTGAGAAATTGATAATTGAGTTGCATGAAATTAAAAAAAACTCTTATCACTTTTTGCTATTTTATGAATAGTCTGATTTCTTGAAATCAATTTTGAGGATATTGCTACGCAAGTTGCTGTCTCAATTTTATCTCCTATAATAATAAAATTAATAATTTATTTGTCAAACTATTCATTATTTAAATTTTCTTTAAATATAATTGTAATGTTTAAAATATTTAAATACTTTACTAGTTTTACAAGTTTACTCGCAAGACATGAATCTTCTATTGTCACTCAAAGACAAAAAAAACTTTGAGACCTTGATTCTTTTCCGCTCTTTTATTAACCTCACTTGAAAATTTTTTACAAAATAAAGAACATGAAAAATAAACAACGTGGAAATTTTGGTGACAATTGATACAAAGCAAGGGTA